ATATATATATATATTTTAAGAATTTACTTGATTCAAATCAAATAATGCTTCTAAACATACTAGATTAAATATATTTATTCAAAAACTGACTTTTTCAAAAATACCACATCATTTCATTCATGCTTGAAAAATGAAGATTCATGAATGAAAATGTGTTAAGAAACTTGAAGATGCAGTACTTTAAAAGAAAGCATTTATTATATTTTAAACTTGTTATTAATTGTTTTTAATTTTAATTTTTAATCCTGAAATAATGTTGTCTTTTTGTTTTGATTTTTTTACTGTGCGTTTGCAGTTTCTGTATAAGATGTCTTAAAATAATATTTTTTTCAAAAAATTGTTATTACATTTAAATTCAATTATAGAAAAAAGTTAAGCTGTTACTTCAAAGATTTGCAGACAAGAAGTTTATACCCTAAATAAAAAATGAGATAGTAATGAAGAAATATAATTACTTATGGTTACTTAAATAGGGCTTTAAGTTTCCTTACATAATTTTCAGTTAGCATGCCATTTTAGCTAACACTGCATTTTGAAACTATAAATGCGATGATAAAGGATGCTTATATATTTATAAGAATCAATAGAAAAAAATAATAATTAATATAATGAATAAATGCCAAAACTATTTATGAAATTGTTTGTGGAATACTGACACTAATGGTGACCTTAATGGCGCAAATGTAATCGTAATAAAATGCAAAAATAAATTTTAAATTTTCAAATATCTTTGAACTATTTTAAAGCAGCTACTCGAACTTGAAGTTTAAAAATATATTTAGTTTACTCAATAAGAAAGAAACGTTTTAATATTTATAATATATCAGTGAGATGGTTTAAAAAGAAACACAGTGCATTTTCTTTTATTCATATCTTAGAGTTTTCTGAATAATTATTTTAAGAACTAAAAGTAAAATATTTTTTTATTATTGAGATAATTACAGGTTCAGAGTATTCTGCAAGTAAAAAAGTATTTCGATTAACCTTAGTACATTATGAGTAGTTTATAGGAAAATAAGACAAAGGTACGTTATTTAAAAATAATACATACAAAAGTTTTATACATAATTTAATTTTAGAATATTATAGATATGCTCTGAACATTTATAAACCATTTTGAATATAATTCGTTTAATATTGTTTGTAGTAAAAAATGTAATCAGTATTTATTGTTATTTTTAAACCATTAAGTGTGGTTTCCGTTTTTTGGGGATTTGATCCACACTAGCTGTGAGAAGCTCTTCCATCCCTCCAATTTTGGACAGATGGGTATTAGCTTGTCTGAATTGTAAAGATGGTTGATGCGCAATACCGACAGCAATGTTTCAATCATGCTGCTGGTCAAAAAATTTTGAAGCCTTAAACTTTATGGTTACTCTGTCCTTTGATGTGCTGTTATGGAAATAATTTGATTTATCATTATTTTTTTAATTTTATTTATTAGTTTTCTTTTACGTTCTATGTGTTAGAAGAGAAATTCCCATAATTTTATGTCTTATTACATAGTTTTGCTATATGAAACGAATTATCATTTTAAATATTTTAAAGCATTTTTGACTGTAGTAAATCTTATTCTAAATTTTTATTTTATACTCAAATTTTTTTAAGAATCATATTTACTTGAAATTTTGCTATTTTACATAAAATAACTTCTAAAAATGTGCAATATTTATCAGTAAGGAAGGTTTGAAGTGAAGAAATTCAATTTAAAGTTACATAAGAAATTATTGTAATTCCGTTAAATAAATTTATTTCTATTTGCTCATAAAAAAAATTCCGTTCAATAAACTTTCATAATAACTAGTATTTTATTAATGACAGAAAAATTTTCATATTTAATAGTTCACGTGAAATGTTTCAGATTAAAATTATAATTAAAAACTCGTGTAAAAACTCCCTTTAAAAAATTGAAATGCTTATGTAAGAAAGTTTCGTTTTAATAATGGGGATAAAAGTTGGTTAAAATTTTTGCATTATTTACAAAATTTCATCGGTTTGTCTAATTTACTATCAGTTTCTACAATACTTTGTTCAAAAGAAACAAAGTAAAGTATATTTAATTTATTTGATTGCAAAAAATTAAATTTGAGAATTTCAAAATTTGATCTTTATTCAAAAATAAAAAAGATAAAAAATGCCTTCCTCATATTGCACGTTGCTGGAAAAGTAATAAAGAATAATGTATCATACAATCAATGAGATAAATACAGTTTTTAATAATCATAAAAATGTTATATTAAACTTTAATGAACATATTGATGAAGTAAAATGATTTTGATAAACTATTTTTGTATTATTCATGCAATGTTTCATTTAATCAGCGTACAATTTTAGAAAAGCTTTAAAAATTATTATTTTTAAACATAAAACAATATTAGAAACAATAAATAATATTCTTATTTTCAAGGAAATATATTGAATTTTTTACATCAATACATTTTAACTTCCAGGAAAGTAAATAAATGAATATTTTAAGTAATATTATTTCCTATATAATATCTTGTATTTTTTGGGGGGATTTGTATAATTTTCTATCATAATACAAAATAATATTTTTTGCTATAAAACATATTTATTTTTTGCATTATTAAATACTAATTGCCAGGTTTAAATTTACAAAATGATAAAGATTTAAGTTTTAGTTGAGGCAATCAAGCTGCAAAATAAACATTAAATTTAATTATATTCATATTTCTTAAAATAATATTTTTGAAATGCTTTATTTTTACAAATAAAATAGAAATTCATGTTGCTCATCAATTTTAAACGCCATTTAAATATTTAAAGACTGATTGCAAATTGTGTTAGGTTAAATATTTATCAATTGTTTTAGAAAAGGAAAACTTATCGCACAGTTGATTCAGTTATATATATCGTATTTTAGAAACTAAAGGCAATTACTTCTGAAAGGCTTACACTTAATGCTCGACTGATTAAAATAGATAAATGGATACTATTCTAAGACTTCACGAATGGTCAACTTTGATAACCAATAAAAGGTTATTAATAAAGGTTTGTTACGAACGATCATGTATGATGCAAATGATAATAGTCTAATTTAGAATCTGGATATAGCGTATTGTTATACGCTATCTCACTCATTTTATTGTTTCTATAGCTTTGCTATATTTAATTACGGCTTGGATGAAACTAAATACATTGTGGCCCAGTTTATTGATATTTAATGCATGAAAAGTAATTAATTTCGGAAACGTTTGTCTAACATAATTTCATTTAATTAAAAAACTATAATTTAGTTAATTCTGTTAGTTAAAATGAACATTATTTAATATAAATTTCAATAAAAATTATTTTAAAAAAAAGTTTAAAATTTGTTTAAGAAGTTGCTACTTTTTAACTTTAAATGTAACAGATATAGCCTAATGTAATGAATGAGAAAAGTTTATAATTACAAAGCACTAACAAACGTATAGGCTAAACAATTAATTTAAACAATTTCACTTTTATTCCTGATTTAAAAGTAATAGATAAAGTCTCTTGTAGTATGCGGGGAAAAATTAAGAAGTCATAGGAAATAAAAAATATAGCGAATATTTATGACTAATATATAAATAGAATATATAACTAAATAGAATATAAAAACTACGCTAAATATACAATTGTATAGGGCATAACATATTTAAAATGCTTAGAGAGGAGATTTTTTGGGTCTTGTTAAAAAGACGAATGTATTAAAGTCTTTTAGTTTCATAATTAAGTTTTTAAAATAATTCTTAAATTTTAATAATGATGCATATTTGTGATTTAATAAAACAAGTGGGAATATATATTAAAAAATCAGTAATGGCGGTACATTGAATTCATGTCTTTGGATTTCAAATTATATCAGGTCCAGCTATATAAATAGAACTGTTTATGAAATTTTATCTAATGTTAAATCAAATTTCATAACTCTATTCTATAATCTGCACCGAGAAAAAAAAGTGTGGTCAAAACTAACTGGATATTGTGAAAATTACCGTGATTGAGGCTCTATAGGAACCCCAAAAACACTCGGTAATTTTTACCTAAACGCTCTGATAATGTTTTTGGTAAAGTTAACAATAAAATATGGTATTGTAATACGTTTTAAAATTTGGTAATTTTTTTATAATTCGGTAAATTTTATCATTATACTTTTGAGCATGACATAAAAATCACTTAATTGGTATATTTAATTTTCAGTTCTGCATCTTTTACTAAATGCGTATAAAAGTGTGCCAAAATTTTTAAAATCAGAATTTTTGGGAAACAATTATCATATCTTATTGTGCTATGTTGGTGATTGAAAAGTCACTATAATGCCTCATAGAAATTTTTTCTACTAATAATCTTAAATATGTATTTTAATTTACTTAGTCTTCACGGATTCTTTAATAATTTCCCTTTAAGTTTGATCGAACATTTTACTGATGAGCATTTTGTTCGAAAATCTTATTGGTCATTTTTAAGTTATATTTTATGAAATGACATAACATTTCACTAACCAGTGGTGTTGGCTTTATGTACAGTAATCCTAATTTATGGTACTATATGTTGACTCAAGATCACTTCTGCATTCTTTTTATTTATATTAGCATAGGAATGGTACGAATTTTGAAATTAATTTTATTTTAAATTTAATTTTAGTGTTGACATATTTACGAATTTTATCATTTTTTTAATACTTATTTAAAAAAGGGCATTTTCCATTTATGCAAAGTATTATTCTGTTTCTCAGTCTGACTGTAAAAGCATAAAGAAATTTTTGCA